GTTTTTCCGGTTCTCATTTGGGTCAGTTATGTTAGAGGAAAGGTCTGGGACTCAAGGGCTGCTGTTCAGATTCTTTTGTCCTATGGGTAATCCCTTGATGTGGTGCTCTCCCCTTTCCTCTAGAGACGGGGCATCCTGAGAGCTGAACTGCAGTGATTGTTATTGCTCTTCTGGGCCTACTCACCAAGGGAAGCTATCAGGCTCCAGGTTGGTACTGGGGAGCATCTGCAAAGAGTCCCGTGTTGGAATCTATCTTCACGTCTTTCAGCCATGGATACCAGCACCTACTCCAGTGGAGGTAGCAGGGGAGTGAAGTGAATGCTCTAAGAGTCTTTGGTTGTAGTTTTGTTTAGTGCATGGGTTTTCTCAAATGCTGGTTATGCTAACTTGTGATGTGGACAGACTGAGGACCTCTGGTTAGCCAGGATGCTTACAAGTGGTAAAATTGCTGTTGTTTTCTCCTTCCTTGGGGCAGGGCTGTTTTGTTGCAGTAATGGCCTGACTTGATTGGCCTCCATACAGGAGGTGGTGATTTTAAGAGAGCATCAGCTGCAGCAGTGTAGGGGAAATACAAGCTTGTCCTAAAGTCACCTGTATAAGTATTTGTGTTTCTTGGGTGATGGGCAGGGCCATAGGGCTCCCACAAGATTATGTCTTTTGTCTTCAGTTATCGGGGTGGGCAGAGATAGATCATCAGGTGGGGGCAAAGTCTGAGCTCAGACTATCCTTGGGCAGGGGTTGTTGTGGCAACTGTGGGGTATGGGGGTGTGGTTCTCAGGCCAATGGAGTTATGTTCCCAGGGGGATTATGGCTGCCTCTGCTGCTTTGTACAGGTAGCCAGGGAAGTAGGGGAAAGCCAGCAGTGACAGGCCTCACCCCACTCCCACACAGCCAGCAAGGCCAGTCTCACTCCTGCCGTACTCCCCCAGTAGCCAACAGAGCCAAATTTATAGCCAGGCCCCTGGTATGCAGGGTTGAGATCTTGCCCTGGGCTACAAGCCTTTCTGCTGAGAAGGCAAACCGGGCCTTCAGGCCTCATCCCTCCCTGCCTGCTGTGGCTTCTATGATAGTATCTGCACTTTCGGTTCATCCCCATAGATTTTGGCCAAGACAATTCATACTCAGTCAAAATTATTACAAAGTTCAGCTGAAAGTTTCCTTCTCCCTGTGGCCCTTCCCCAATTCCACTGGCAGCCCTCCCCAAGGAACCCTCTGAGATTAAAGTCAGAAATGACTTCCCTGGACTTTCCGGGGGACCAGGAGTGCCTGCAGGGTTCTTCCCACTCCTTCTTCTACTTTTATATTTTGCTTGGCTCTCTAAATTCATTTCAGCTCTAGGTAAAGTTAAATCCTTCTCCCGTGATCTAGATTTTCGGGTTTCCCCAGTGAGGATGTGTGTTCAGAGGTAGACTTTCCCCCTCTCACTCTTTAGGCACTCACATTTTTTCAGCTATCTCACAGAGCTTGGAGAGGCAACCCACTGCTTTCAAGGGGTCTGTGAATTCTTTCAGCTTTCTTGGTATGTTCTTGCAGTGGTTCTTGGAGCAAAAGTTCATGATGTGGGTCTCCAAACATGTTCGTCCGAGTGAGAGCTACAAGACAGTCCTGCCTCCTAGCTGCCATTCCCACCCTCCCCACACACCAGGTTAATTATCAACATCATCGTCTTTTATTTTCCAATGGCTCTCAGTAGAGCACATAGGGATCTACCTATCATAATATTTCAGTTGTCTGTGTTCTTTGTATCTCCTGCTGGATGATGACAAGCTCAAACACTTAGTGGGAACTTAATAACTATTTGTTGAATGAGTGAAGCATTGAGTAGAACTAGAAGTCTTCTGTGAAATAAACTTAGTACAGTTAACCTTGTAGAGCCTGTCATCAATCCACATTGGCCTCCCTGTCTCCGTTCAGCCCGTAAGAGCTGAAAACCAGCCACAGTTTCAGCCAGTCTGTGACAGTCCACCATCTGTAGATACAAGGGAGTGGCAGGGATGCTGAGGTTTGGTGGATTGTGTTGCTATATCACCCTCTTGTGGCTGGTGTGTGGAACTCATTACAAAATCCTTTGTGTGGTATAATCTCTAAGGTGGTAGTTCTATAGATCTCAACCCAGATCTCATTTTGGTTTCAGGATAGATTTGGGCATCAGTATTTTAAAAAGTTACCCAGGTAATTCTAACATTTAGGTAACCTTGGATGTTATTGGCAGATCTGGGCCATGCTTAAGTGACCAGGTGGCCACGTTTGCTAGATCTACTTCTTGGTATACAGAGATGTATTTAGTCTTCTCAAAGCTCACCAGGGGGCCAGCATACCTCCAGACGAGTGGTTCTCAACTGGGGGAGATTTCGCCAAGAAGGGGACATTTGGTGTTTGGAGATACTTGATTGTGACAATCAAGGACAGGGCATGTGCTATGGCATCCAGTGGGCAGAGGCCAGGGTGCTGTTAAACACCCAACAGTGCACAGGACAGCCCCAGGAGAAAAATTTATCCAACTCCAAATGTCAATAGTGCCGCAGTTGAGAAGCCCTGCTCTAGATTTTGTCCACAGGGGGAATTTGGTGGACTTCAGGGAAGGGAATTCCTCTGAAAGTGACAAAAATTAAACAATCCTTTCAACACGGGTCTCCATGTGGAGGGTGCTTCCTGACCTTTCGTGAAGGGGATGCCAAGCTAACCCTCGTCCACCCCAGGAAAGGGACAACCTCACATCCTATCTGATCAAATCTGCTTCTTTCGGCATCTCATAACTATGACATGGAGACACAAGGCCAGCAAACATGTCGTGCCATACTACCGTGTTATAAATCCTTTAGGAAACACAGGACGAACGTGCAATTTCCTTGATGGACTGGCTGTAATTTATTTATTTCCAGAAAATAGAACCATAAACTTCAGAAGAAGAATCAATTCACAGTAGCTTCTCAGCCAGCGCACACCGCCCCCTGTAACAATCACATCCCTGCTGTGTGACTGGAGGAAGTGTCCTGAAGAGCCTGGAGCTGTGCCCAGTTGTATTTCAGAACATCAGTCCCTTCAAACCGAGAATGGGTGTGTTCCTCCTGACTTCTCTAGAATTCAGACAAATTGGTCAAAAGAAAACGGCATTACATGGGAAACACGGGGAAAACAGACTGAAATTTCAATTTTATTATTTTAAACCTGAGGAAAAGGCAAGCTCCCACTTGCCACTCGCCACTCCCACAGTGCCATTTGGGGCAACGAGAGAGTGGTGAGTGTATGACCAAAAGGGGTTGTTTTCCCACTTTGTAACCATGGTCTAGGGGCGAGAGGCATAATGCCAGTGCTGTCAGGTGGGTGCCCTAAGGACTCCTTTCCCAGTGAGGTCTTGTTGGACTGCCTGTAATTTATTCATTTCCAAAAATTAGAAACATAAACTTCAGAAGAAGCATCAATTCACAGTAGCTTCTCAGCCAGCACACACCACCCCCTGTGGAGGGTGGTTCTTGAGGTCTTGAGTCCAGGGGTTCAGGAAACTTAGAAGTGATAGCCTCTTCTTTACCCTTGTTTCTGCCTTTCCATCAGGTTGAATTCAGCTACTGGAAAAACCCAAATGTTGGGAACGGAGCTTCTAGAGCGATCTGAGTTGTAGTAAAGGAATGAGTGCTCATCAGCCTGGGGTTTACAAATCTTCATTAGTAGCGCCACAGTCTTGAGCGTAGACAGCGAATGACGCTAAGGTTATACAAGGATGGCGTAGTGGATGGCGTAGAACCTTTTTTGTCTGCCTGCCACCTGAATCCCACTTCTACTGTTTCTAAATTCCCTAGCTCATAATAAGTGAAAGTGGAAAATGCCAGATACTCAATTCCCAACCTCCCTTGGAGATAGGACATGGACGTGTAACCTAGGATTGGCCAAAATCAATCCCAGGTTTTGAATTATAAGCTAGAGATGAAAAGATGTAGAAGGGACCCTGGAGAATTCATTTTCATGGCAGACAGTGCAGCAGTGACAGTAATACCGAGTTTAGTTTCCAAGTCCAGCAGAGATAGTGAGGCAGTGGTAGAGTCTGTGCCTAGTGCTGGGGACGGTGGCTGTCCAAAGACAGGATCGCCATTCCTGGGCTCGTTTTGTAATTTTGTCTGTGGACCCAGTCATAGCATAGTCTCCTCTTTTCCTCCTCACTTTCAAAGCATGGTTTTACAGAACCTTCGAGCAGTTACTGGATATGGTCAGTATCTTTTCAATACATCCCTTTTCTACATAAAAAAGCCAAAGCCAGTTTCTGTTGATTGCAGCTAAAAACTCTATTACAGAAGCTGGTCCCAGAAAATGAGTTACGCTAAGCAACAGGCTTATAGTGTGAATGGACCGCGTAGAGGAGATGAGATATAAGGTAATAAGGACCTGAGTTTTGAGCTGGGAGGTTGGTGCCCCTTATTATGCAATGGTACGATAGTGGCTATTTCTTACAGTACTCGCCAAGTTTATATAAGAACCAATAAGAAAAGGAAGGGCTTAAATTGAAGACACCCTGTTTGAAAACAGAGAATAGCAAGAAAATAGGACTTTACTAAAAGAGGCTCTTTCTGCTTGTAGCCTGCAAAATAAGTTATTGAGCATTCAATGATTTGAAGTTCTTAGACCAAAATAACTTAATTTTCTACTAGAAGATACATTGCATGTGAGGAGAGGTATGCAGGGAGTAGAAAGCGCCTAAGACCTTGACCTCTGACACCCCTTGAAGCCCTGGATATAAAATAGGTTCGGAACCTTGCCGTAGAGAGTCTTAGCTGAGGCTCCAGGTTTGTGGTTCAAGGGAATAAACAGAGAACTGGGATTTAAACGTCATTTTGAGAAGTGAAAAATCACCCTGAAACAAGTTTCTCTGAACAGTCCAAGCTCCTTTGTAACAGCACCACCAAACATGTGCTACTTTTTTCCTTAAAACTGATTACCATTTGAACAGAACTGTACTTTTAAGGCTCTTACATGGCTTCCAGTCCACTGTTCAAAACTCGGAGATCTCAAAAATCATTCTTTCTGTTTATTGACTGTTTAGCTTCTGGATTTTGCAAATAAAATAATGATATTCTTAGCTTCTTTTATACAATAATATCAGAGTGTTTATACATATAATAAGAAATTCACCCTTCATCCTCTCTTCACTCTTTATCCTGAGAGAGAAACTGAGGCGCAGAGGCTTGATCAGGGCTGCAAGTGATCATGATCAGCCCCCAGAACAAAGTAAAGGCAGCCAAAATGTAAACTTTTCCAGACTTTGTGACTGGGGGTCCACTGTCTGAGATAGGTACTCAGATGGCTTTCAGTCTTTGGTTTTTATTATCCAATGCCAGCCAAGAGCAAGATGTCCAAAGTCTGAACTCACATCACTACCCATTTCATCTGCCACAACACAAGGATGCAAAGCTGTTCTGCGCCTGCAGCCACTGCAGAGCAAGCTAAATTCTTGGGAAGCCTCACTTCCTTGTTCATTTCACAGATGCATGTGGAAGAAACATCACCAGGTAATTGATCCAAGAAGGATTGGCCAATCAATCCAGATATGTGTAGCGTGTCTGCCAGAGGCCCGGGGCCAAGTTCAGTGTTTGTTTTGGTTTTTCCATTTCAGAAAGTCCCTTTGTTGGGTCGTTGATGTCAGCTCTCTGGAAGTGTCACACTAGCATAGACTGTGATGGAACTTGTTTCCTGGGGACAAAGCAAAAGTCTGTGAGTGGAGGGACTGGATACCCACTTCACAGGATGCAAATGAAAGCAGTGCTGCTGAGGAACAGGAAAGGGTCTAAGCGATCATGTTGCATGTTGACGTGTGCGGGGTCTGTCACAGACAGGGCCTCGCTGGGGCAGCACCTGGGTTCCCACACTGCTTCCCCACCTGCAACAAGGGCCACAGCTCTCTTCCAAGCATAAGCAGGCCATCACGGGGAGCATGATCTGAGGATCGGCACTCAAGGCTCTGTCTCCCTCTTTGCCCTCTCCCCTTCCATTCTCTTGTAAGGAAAACCATTTGTTTTGCTGTTAGGCAGGGTCACAATCTGGGGAAGCCAAGAGAGTTGTAAATTACTGAGTTTTTAAAAAGCCTAGTGGGACTCAAAGGGAGAGGAGAAAAGAGATATTGGCAGGAGAGAGGAAGGGAGGGGAGAAGAGGATTATGTGCAAAGATTTCTCACGTAAGGAAAGTCTAAGAACCGAAGAAAAGAGAATGGGGAATTTAAGAGGTTTTGCCATAAAATGTTGCCTATAGCATACTGCTTGTGTCCTTAAGTAAACATCAGTAAAAATCTACATCATTTTGAAAGTTTTGAAGTCCGGTTTATATTTTTACTTCCCTCTTGGCTATGACAATGTACTGAGAATGGACCTCAAGTTGAAGATCTATTTTATCTTGAAATAGGACAACTGCCCAGGCATTTCTGGGTGTGTGTGCGGTAGGAGCATTGAAGAAGGTGGATGCAGGCATTTGTGTGATCTTTGTGCCTCTATAATCCTAGGCTCTCTTCTGAAAAAGCCCAAGTGGAGCAAAGATTTCAGCCGAGAACGTATTTCTGTTCATTCAGCAAAGGAAAGATTTCTGTCAGAAGTAAACTTAGTCCCTGCTGATCTTGCCATAGGGTAGAACAGGCAAGTCTCATTTAGAGCTGCACCTCATATTCTCTTCGAGGCTTTACACCTATGCAGAGATCCAACCCTAAATATTCTGATTAAATGGTGCCGGGCAGAGTCTAGGCATGAGAATTTTTACAAAGCTTCCCTGGTGATTCTGTTTTGTAGCTGGAGTTGAGATCTCCTGGACTTCAGCTGCTGTTCTTAAACTTGAGGGTGTATCAGAATTACCTGGGGTGTGGGTTTTGTTAAAAATATGTAGGTCTCTGTCTACTCTCCATAGACATTTTCATTGAACAGAATCCTAGGTGAAAGGCCCCAGGAATCTTTATTTTTAACAAGCATGCTGGCTGGTTCTGATGTGGTCCTTGGACAATTCTCAGAGAAACACTGGCCAGTAGGGAGTGAGTGGTGGCCCCATGTGTGCAGGTATTGGGGGTTTCATGGAAACTGGAAAGCCAAGGCCACAGAGACTCCTTGCTGCCTCCGTGCTATGGTCTAACTTCCCTAGTCCAGCACTCATCAATCTGTTTCATTTAATTTGTTTTTAAAGTTTTATCTTTTTTTTTTTTTACTTTTATTTTAAGTTCAGGTGTACACATACAGATTTGTTACATAGGTAAACCTGTGTCATGGGGATTTGTTGTACACATTATTTGTCACCCAGATATTAAGCCTAGTACTCATTAGCTATTTTTACTAATCCTTTCCCTCCTCCCACCTAAACAAATCCCCTTTCTTTTCCCTTCCTCCATGTATTCCCTCTCTACAGAGAGTAGGCAGAGAAGTGCCTCACCTGGACAGACTCTGGGACAGGCTCTGTGGCAGCAACATAAATGGTGGTGCAAGGGTCCTGAGCTGGGAAGGAGTCAAGTTTCTTCTGAAGAGTCTACAAGAGAAGCAAATAATGCAGATTAGCTGAATAGAGAGAGCTGGCTCTCACCCATCTCTCTGATGGGGAAGCACAGACCCAAGAAGCCTTGAGGCAGAAAGTTCCTTCAAGTCATTTGGCCCAACCTCCTTCTCAGGTGTGAATTCTCCCCCAGATTCCCTGGAACTCAATTTCCCAGGCTTTGCTTGGACTCCCCAAGCGGCGTCTTGGAGCACGCAACTTCCCAAGGCAGCCTCATCCATTGTTACTGCTTCCCGGGTGTTTTAAATGTCTTCCTCACAAGAAACTGAAATTGATGTGGCTCTTACAGAGGCAGCTGGAAGGGACAGAATAGTAACAGAATTTAATCTGTCTCACTCATGTCACCGGCTACAGAGTTCTTGCATCCCACCTGCCATTCCTATTCTTCCTCCTCCTCACATATGTCTCCTCATTTGCCTCACAACCAGTCTATGTGCTAAATGCTGTTGTCACTCACACTTCACCGACGACAAAGCCGCAGCTCGGGAAGATCAAGTGTTTCCTTAACGTGTACATGAAAGAAGTGTTAAAGCCAGGAGTCCCCCGCCTTAAGCTCTTTTAACTTCAAGTGCATGTCCTTTCTATCACTATTCTTCTTTGGCCACCTCAACTTATAGTGACCTATCCCATACCTAAATTCCTCAGGTATTTAAGGTCTAATTTACACATTATGGCATTCTATGCCATATTTAAAACATTCTGACATATTTATATGTTGTTTCTCCAGTCTTTACATTCCTTGAGAAATAACATATATATATATATATATATATATATATATATATATATATTTTTTTTTTTTTTTTCTTTTTGAGACGGAGTTTCACTCTTGTTACCCAGGCTGGAGTGCAATGGCGCGATCTTGGCTCACCGCAACCTCCACCTCCCGGGTTCAGGCAATTCTCCTGCCTCAGCCTCCTGAGTAGCTGGGATTACAGGCATGCACCATCATGCTCAGCTGATTTTTTTTGTATTTTTAGTAGAGAAGGGGTTTCACCATTTTGACCAGGGTGGGCTCGATCTCTTGACCTCGTGATCCACCTGCCTCGGCCTCCCAAAGTGCTGGGATTACAAGCTTGAGCCACCACGCCCCGCCTAACCTATATATTTTTGAATTCCCCACAGAACAGTGTTCAAGACATAAAAACAAATCCTTCAGTTGATATTTGTTGATGTTACTTTGAAGGAATCAAAATCCACATTACCTGAACAAAGTCCTCAAAGTAAATTGAGACCACATTCCTGTAAGATGCGAATGCCGTCACTTGTAATAGGGAGGTCATTAATTCAACACACTTGGGGGGACACTTGTTATGGGATAATGCTGCTCTCCATTCTCCCTGGGTGTAGAGCCAGATTTGAAGCCACAGCAGATGTGTTTTGATGAGAGAGAACTTGGAATCTTGTCATGTGATAGAAGGATTAAGGAAATAGGCAAGTTTATTGGAGGAAAAAGGTATGGGACATAATTTTTCTCTTCATGCATTTGATGAATTGCCATATAGAAGAGGAATTCTATTTGCCTGTAAAGTATCTCAAGTTTAAACCAAGATTGGGATTTGAGGGAAATATTTTGGTTCAGTATAATGCAGATCTTCCTAATAGTAAAAGGTGAGCAAATGAGGGATAAATTGCCTTGGCAGGCAATGAGCTCCTATAGTTATAAGTGCTTGGGCATGGTCTAGACCAGTGCTGCTGACGTTTACTATGCATATGAATTACTTGAGGATCTTGTTAAAGGGTTGATTCTATTTCAGAAGCTCTGGGGAAGGGCCTGATTCTGCATTTTTAATAAAGTCCCAGGTGATTTTGATGCTGCTTGTTGACTAACTATATTTTGGTAAAAAGGAGCGAGGCAACACTTTGGAAGCAATGTTGTAGAAGATAATTCAAGCAGCAATTGGGTGGTTCAAATCGATGACTTTCCAGATCCCATACGATTCTTAAATACTACAGTTTGAAGACATTTAGAATTTAAGAAAGAATTTCTTGCAATAATGAGATAGAATAAGAGGTTATGAAAATAGTTTTAACATTAAGAGACCTTTATCAACAGATGCAACCTCTGCTTGTCTTCCTGTTTGGGAGAACTTTAGCATACCTGACCTAGAGGCAGAAGGAAGAAGGCAAATAACTTACACTTTTAACATTAATTTGAAAGTTGTATAAAGGAGAAAAATTTGTAAAAGAAATCACCCATAGTCCTATTAAGACTATGTGTGTATTTAAATGTTCACTTTGGGATTTTTATCCAGGCACAGTGAATTATTTTAAACATAATTATAATGTTAGCATATTTTTGTATCTTGTCATCTTCAGTTAGGACCACTGATTTGTACATCTTTAGGGAGCATAATTTACAAGCAGCTCCAGGGGCATTATTTTCACATATTCTTTGTGAATCATGGCCCCCGGAATTAATTCTGCAAGACAGTAGCTCTAATAAGTCCTAGAAGAGTTCCTAGAACACAGTAAACATCTGTTAAGTGATTTTCATTCCTTATATATTCTTTACAAGATTATTTTATAGCCATTACAAATAAGAACAAAGGCATTGCTAGTTTTTAAATAATTGTCTATACTATTACAGTCTTTATAATGACCTAATAAAGGCCTTGCAAATATGAACGAAAAAATTGTGAGAATGTGGGTAAGTCTAAGTACATATTTTTATATATAAAACAATAATAATGTGTCTCATGTGTTTAAATATATATGAAGTTCAAATAATGACAAAAAGTCACATAAATCAAGAGGTGAAATTACAGTGGACTTAAAGCATTATGAAGGAGGGAAGCAAACATTAGACTTTGGTAAGTCAAAAATGTGTTTTGGCCAGGCGCAGTGGCTCACGCCTGTAATCCCAGCACTTTGGGAGGCCGAGGTGGGTGGATCATGAGGTCAAGAGATCGAGACCATCTTGGTCAACATGGTGAAACCCCGTCTCTAATAAAAATACAAAAAATTAGCTGGGCGTGGTGGTGCGTGCCTGTAATCCCAGCTACTCAGGAGGTTGAGGCAGGAGGTTGCAGTGAGCCGAGATGGTGCCATTGCACTCCAGCCTGGGTAACAAGAGCAAAACTGCATCTCAAAAAAAAAAAAAAAAAATGTGTTTTACAATTTCTAGGGTAGCCACTAAAGACAGAAAAAAGTTGTTCACTAACATGTAGAGGAGAAAATTGAATAATAAAATACAACTTTAAAAATTTCCACCAAAGAAACCCCAGTTTCAGATAGCTTTACTAGCAATTTCTACCAAATATTTAAGGGGAGAAATAAGACCAATCCTACCCAAACATTCCAGAGGATAACAAAAAGGAAATGTACCCTGTAGTGATTTGAACTGTGGCCCCAAAAGATATGTCCACCCAAAATCTCAAAATGTGACTTTATTTCAATAAAGATCTTCACAGATGCCAAGGTAAGGATTTCAAAATGAGGGTACCTTGGATTAAGATAGGTCCTAAGTCTGATGATGAGCGTCCTTACAAGAGATGGAAAAGGAGAAGACACAGAGAGGGAGGTCACGTGAAGATGAAGGCGAAAATTGCAGATACACAACTACAAGCCAACAAATGCCAGGGAGAGCCTGGAGCCACCAGATGGTGGAAGAGGCAAAGAGGATTTTTCCCTAAAGCCTCCAGAGGGAGTGTGGCCCTGATGACCATGGCTCCTCGATTTTGGGCTTCTAACCTTCAGAACTGTTACAGAATACATTTCTGTTGTTTTAAGCCACCAAGTTTCTAGTAATTTGCTATGGCAGCCCTGAGAAACTAATAGGTACCCATTATGTGAATTAGTGTAAATCTTTATATCAAAACCCCACTGGTTGGGCATGACTACCCAGGTCTCTTCCAGTTCTTGAAGTCTGAATTTATAAGAGGAGAGTGACCAACCTTACCATGAGGGTGGGTATTAGGTAGAGCAGCTTTGTGTCATTTTGGGATCAATCTGAGGCTTGTGATTAGAGTCCAGGAAGAACTATGTTACTTATTTTTTTAAGGACATTTGAAATATTTCTACCTCAACCTGCATCCCGGTTAGATATAGTCACAATAATGCTGCATACCAGCCACTGCAAAATTCAGTGCCTTCAAAATAAAAGAAAGAAAAAAAATGGTGGTAGCTGGCAAGATGGCCAAATAGAACAGCTACAGTCTGCAGCTCCCAGCAAGATCAATGCAGAAGGCAAGTGATTTCTGCATTTCCAACTGAGGTACCTGGCTCATCTCACTGGGACTGGTTAGACAGTGGGGGCAGCTCATGGAGGGCAAGCAGAAGCAGGGCAGGGTGTTGCCTCACCTGGGAAGCACAAGGGGGTTGGGGAACTCCCTCCCCTAGCCAAGGGGAGCCGTGAGGGCCTGTGCCCTGAAGAATGGTTCACTTCAGCCCAGATGCTACGCTTTCCCACAGTCTTTGCAACCCACAGACTGGGAGATTCCCTAAGATGCCTACACCATGAGGGCCCTAGGTTTCAAGCATAAAACTAGGCAGCCATTTGGCCAGACACTGAGCTAGCTGCAGGAGTTTCTTTTCATACCCCAGTGGTGCCTGGAACACCAGCAAGACAGAACCATTCACTCCACGGGAAAGGGGGCTGAAGCCAGAGGGCCAAGTGGTCTAGTTCAGTGGATCCCACCTGCATGGAGCCCAGGAAGGTAAGATCCACTGGCTTGAAATTCTCTGCCAGCACAACAGTCTGAAGTCAACCTGGGATGCTCCAACTTGGTGGAGAGAGGGCCGTCTGCCATTACTGAGGCTTGAGTAGGCGGTTTTCCCCTCACAGCATAAACAAAGTCACCAGGAAGTTCACTCTGGGTGGAGCCCACCACAGTTCAGCAAAGCCATTGCAGCCAGACTGCCTCTCTAGATTCCTCCTCTCTGGGCAGGGGATCTCTGAAAGAAAGGCAGCAGCCCCCTTCAGGGACTTATAGATCAAACTCCCATCTCACTGAGACAGAGCACCTGGGGAATGG